TTTTTCCTCTTTTCTTTTTACATTTGGCTTTCAGTTCATTTATGTTTTTTTTTTTTTTTTTTCTTTATCGTTTACGATTGCCGAATTGACTATTAATTTCCCTTTTATCCTCTTTTCCTTTCACTTTTATTTCTTTATTTTTTCCCGCCTATGATATGGAAATACAAATCACGGCGACTGCCGTACCGCGTTGTTGTACGGCATGCCATATCTGTTACGAAAATTTCGTTTGCAACGCCATCATGCGGACAAGTTTGTTGAACGTCCAACTCACGTTTTCCAACACTGTCCACCATGATTTTTCATCACTGGCAACGAGCTCGAGGTGTGTCTCCTTTCTGTCTAACACGTTTTTTCTAACATTTTTCGTTAACAGGTTAAAGATATTTCATTGATATTCGGTAAAAGGAGGAAAGTGAAATAAAAACTCGCATCCGATGTTTGTATAATTATATTTGTTAATTATATAATTAATTTAAGTTTGATTAAGAATTGAGTTTACTGTTGTCGTTGGATAATATTAATTTTTACTTAACACCTGTGTCTTATAATATCGAGTCACATTCTAGTGGTACTAGATCTTGATAGGCTTTGTTTTGAAAAAAAAAGAAAAGTTTGAAAAAAAAAAAGAAAATCCCACGGAATTTCCGAATTTAGTTTCTCCGAACTGAACGTTGATAAATAAAAATTACAGTGGAACGTTTCTATTACCTTGTATCTAAAATAATGGTTGCGATTTACAGTTAAATTAGTTACAATTTTTACTTCAGAACAAATAAAAATCACACTAGAATATTTCTAATACCTTGTGTCTGAAACAATAGTTACAATTTTAAATAGATAACCTCAAAAATTGAAAGACGAAACGGGTCGAAGTTGCACCCTAATACCTTGTGTCTGAAACAATAGTTACATTTTTAAATAAATAACACCTCAAAAAGTGAAAGACAAAACGGGTCGAAGTTNGCACTGTATAATACCTTGTGTCTGAAACAATAGTTACAATTTTCAATAAATAACATCTCAAAAATTGAAAGACAAAACGGGGTCGAAGTTGCACGCCGTATTCAACAATTCCTCGATCAGCGGCATCGGACGATGTTCGACGAACACCCGGAGATCTTACACGTGCGCAAATACCCACGTCACGCACTCAAAAAAAAAACATCATCTCTCGCGAGAAGATACTCGAGGTATATCAAAAACTCGATTCACTTACGATTGCCTTCGCAAAAAAGAAAAAAAAAAAAAAAAAAAAAGACACAAGCAACCCGGTAAGGCGATCTCTTCCATCCGTGAGATCTCGTTTCGCATTAATTCGTACAATGATCTGAACCTGCGAGATTCTTTTCCCGTCGAAAACGAAGGATCCTCGTGCTCTCTTGTCCGTTCGTTCGTTCGTTCGTTCGTTCATTCGCGGCACAATCGGGGAGGGCCCAGCCCCGTGTCTTCTTCTCCGATTTCCGTCTTTTTTTCTAACGTGGGCCAGCCGGTTATGCTCGAAGGAAACGATCTTTTGTTGGCCGGGCAACGGGGACCGTCTGTTTCGCGCGAACCAGTTTTCGCAATGATACAGGGCCGCGTGCCGAAAATTCGCAGCCGGTGGTCGTCGTCTCACCGAAACGAGATAAAGCGTGGTCGTGGTCCCTCTGTCCTGTCGTTGACTTTCGTCCCGAGGTAGAACCAATGCGAACACTGTCTCAATGGACCCTCTGATTTATGTTCACCGGCCGGCATGCAAATTTCATCGGCGTGGTTCGAGGCCACTTTACCTCATTGTTCCATTCCTGGGTCAGTCCCAGAACGTTTTTCGGTGACGCGAGTAACGTCGGTCGCTTCCCTCTTCCGGGTCTAACTGCCTCCCTCTCTCTCCCACTCTCTCTCTCTCTCTCGCTCCCGTTTCTTATTTCGTGTTTCTCGAGCTCTGAAGAAACACAAGTAACCGATGTGTACTCTACATCCTCCTTCGGCATCGGTTTTTCGATCGCACAAAAGAACGAAAGGGAGAGAGAGAGAGAGAGAGAGAGAGAAAGAGAGAGGAGAGACGTTTCCCTCGTCTGGATTTTGTGCAAGTTTCGCAAATTTGGGACACAAATTTCCCTCGTTTTCGCCTTTATTTCGTAGCTTAACTTGCTTTCGTTGAACTTACTTGCAAAAAGGAAGGTTCGAAGGTTCGAAGACAGTTGATTTCGGCTTTCAGGCCGTTCAGATTTTTGGTAAATAAGAACTGCATTCTGGTAGTTTTAATTTCAGACCGTCGTTATGATTGTCTCGAAAAGTAAAACTCTTGACATAATGTTAACACTTTCGTGACGGGCGATAACCGGACAAAACGTTTAACTGAATATGGCAATATAATTTCCAAAAGTTTAGTAGCTGAATAGATAGGCAAGATTCTGGTATTTGCAGATATATGAATATCACGTCTCAATATGATACTTATAGTCATCGCTTGTTCATAATTTTAAAAAATTCGTAAAAATGCGTGTAGAAAAAAATAAACATATTCTCTTTAATAAAATGAATACGACGAACTTACAGGTACATGAAATTTACATTAACTTACAGTAATACTTTTACAATGTTTATTTTACATAACAATTTGGTATTTATTAATAACTCGAAATACAAAATATATTGGCAAATGAAAACGCAATGACAATTTAACAAGTTTAACAAGAGTTGGCGCCAACTTTTGAAATGACGTAGGATTCTCGCGAAAGTGTTAACACGGGACGATCGAACGAAAAGTGAATCAATTCGATCGAAGTGTTCCAAAGAATCGATTGGTTCTCTAGAAGAATGTAAAAACGACAGAAACCAGTAGACCCGATGAAAGAAATTGATCTAAGGTTTAGAAATTAATCGATGGATTTTTATTGTTCGAAAGTGAAAATATCGCGTCGGAGAGGGGGACACAGGGGCAACGTCGTCCCCCGTTGCGTTACACTTTCGCCACATTCTTTCGCAATGGTACCCGGACTATCCTGTCCGCACTTTTCACTCGTTATTCACGTTCCGGGCTTTCGAGAGCATTTTCCAGCCCACTTGCCCTTCTTCCTCCCTGCTTCGAACTGCCTGCTCTCGTCCTGTTATACACGTGTTAGGAGACACATCTCGAGCTCTCTTTCCTTTCCCGCCCTTGTTTTCCATCCACTGAAAATTTCACTTTCTTCGAAGATTCTCCAGAAAAGACTCACGGCAAAAAAAACGTCTGCGTAAAACGTAGTATTTTATTGTTTTAATTTCTTACTCTGAGATTCTGTAGAACGGAATTATTGTAAATTGTTGTAATTTAAGTAACGCGTGATGATTTGGAGTAGACGAGCGACGCGACGCTTCTGTAATCTTTAATTAGTATGGCGCCTACATGCTTTCTCAGTGTGCACTGTGTTGTCACGCGTGTATCAGTAACGCAAATCATTAAGTTTACACTATGAATCACGGTGCAATTCGACAAAGTATATAAGTTTCGTATGCATCGCGAAACAATTTCAAATTCCCAACAAAATCGCCCCCACGAAATGTTAATTTTCGTTTGAAAAAAACGCTCCGTTTGTCCTTTGAAAGATTAATCGCCAGCCTTCTGTTTCGTTGAAAACAACGAAAGTCAAAAATTTACGAGACGAGTCCGAGCTGTCCGGTGTAATTTTCACGATCGTTCACATTGCTCGTCGCGATCGAACATTCACTTTCATATAAAAAATATATATTTTC